TACCTGGGGGGACTCCAGGAGGCAGTGGGCCTCTGGGCCGGGCACCTGGCACGTATGGGGTTCTGTCTGTGTGAGTTCCATCCTGCATCCCATCCCCCAGTCCAGAACAGCTGCCCTCCCCTCTCGCCCCCACTCCCCAGTTTTGAGTCCAACTTTGTAAAGAGCTTTCTTTTCTCTCCTGGATCCTCACGGTAGTGAGGCTGGTGGGCTGGCTGCTGTGATGCGGACATTTGACAGATGAGCAAACTGAGGTCTGGAGGTTAAAGCAAGCTGTTGCTGATTCATTCCTTAGGGAGACCCCCCCACCCCTGCTTCACTCTGTGGGTGCAGGGAGACCCATTTGATTGGCAGGTCATTCCCAGCAGGGCACTCTCACTTTCTGGAGGGACAGGGAACTATGTGAAGTGGGGGTGGGAGGTGCCTGGGTGAGGGGCCCAGGGGGGAGAGGCTGCCCTTGACTCCCAGTGCAGCGCTTGCTTGTTCTCCCACGTCACAGCACTCAGAGAGAGTCAGAAATGCACCCAGCTCCCCAGCCTTCTGTAGTGGAGTCGGCCTGAGGGGGTCATTGGGGGCCCCTGGACAGCAGTGTGAGGGCTACCAGTTCCGAGGTCTGCAAAACTGGTCCCAGTGACGCCTCTGCTCTGTCCCGTGTGCGACAACGGGGCCACCTCTCCTGACTGTGCAGGGCCATGCTGCTCGCCTTGCAGGTTGGATGAGTGAGAGAACGTGGCACCACGTGCAGGGAAAGGATGACACCCTTCGTGGTTACCCTCACCCACTGCAGCCACAGTGGCCCTGGGCCCAGGCCCTCCCTCCGCCCCCTCCCCCCTCTCCCCAATGTGCTGCCATGGAGTGCTGTGCAGAGCAGGCAGCCAGGAAGCAGGATTGCCTCGAAGCCCAGCCTCCTTAGCAAGGGGCAGCTTTCATAGTCCAGAAGGTGAACCCAATCCTCTGCCTCCTGCTGCCCAGCCCATCCCCTATTCAATTAACCTTCTTCCCGCTCAATTAGCACCTGGGGCTGAGGCACCCCCGCTATTACTGGGGATGTGTCTTTGGGGGGTTGGAATAATAGATCTTCCTCCTCCTCCCTTCCCCCTCAGCTCTGCAGACCGTCCCCAGGGAGGCTCCGGAGAGCCACCTGGGCAAGCTGACACCTGGGGTGCAGAGGCAGCAGGCTGGCAATAATTAGAGTGATGATAACAATGAAGATATTAGCTAATATTCATTGAGTCTGCGAGCCAGGCCCGGTGTGAAGCCCTTTGTAAGTGGCAGGGAATCCCCCAAGCTTTCTGAGCGGCTCATCTTAGTCCTCATTGCGCAGACCAGAAACAGAGGGGTTCGAGACGAGGCATGCGTGCGTCTAGGGCAGTGATGGCGAACCTTTTGAGCTCGGCGTGTCAGCATTTTGAAAAACCCTAACTTAACTCTGGTGCCGTGTCACATATAGAAGTTTTTTGATCTTTGCAACCATAGTAAAACAAACATGTATATTTTTGATATTTACTTTATATATTTAAATGCCATTTAACAAAGAAAAATCAACCAAAAAAATGAGTTCGTGTGTCACCTCTGACACGCGTGTCATAGGTTCGCTATCACTGGTCTAGGGTCTGGGCCCTCTCCCTGTTCCTTCCTCGCCCCTCCCACCACAGTGACCTGTGACAGTCCGGCAACCTGCTCCCTTGTCCCACAGCACCTGCACAGCTGGGGCACACAGTGGGCTCTCTGTGGGGCTCCCCTAGGGGGTGGCGGGGATGCTGCTTCAGGATCACCAGCTTCTCCAGGCCCCGAGTCTCTTGTGGTCTCAGCAGTGGCTGTGGGACCACTCCGCCACACTCTCCCTGTCTCCCTCCTGGAAAGGGCAGGGGCTCAGGGTCGAAGTTCTGCCTTATTTCCTCATGGAGGTATGTCCTGGGCAAGTAAGTTCACTTCCACTTCCCCAGGGCCTGCTTCCTCAACATAAAGTGGGGATCACGGTACCAAATTCCTAACTCCTGTATGTTGCTTATGTAAGAGAATACCAAGTGTGTAGCATTGTGTCTGGCACATAGTAGGTGTCAATTAGATGAGTTCCCGCCCCCTTCCCATCTGTCTCCTAGATTCATTCCTGGTTCCCTGGAGTGGGTCTTGGGCTGTGTGTGTGTGTGTGTGTGTGTGCATGCATGATGTTTCCTTCCCTTATTTTCAGCCTTCACCCCCCCTCTCCCTCCCCCTGAAATGCATAGGACCTGTTTCCTGGAGCAGGGCTGGGGGCCTGAGGAGGCTTGAGGAGGGAGGGCCTGGGAGCCGCCTACCCCCCAGCTGAATGTGCAGAAGGGGTTGGGGGGGAGACAGGGTATGTCGTTGTATGTGTGACTCTGTGTGTGTCACTTCTCTCAGTGGGGGAATGGGGAGCAATTTCCAAGGGCTGCTCTGGGCCCAACCCCAAGACTCAGGCCTGACTCAGTTTCATTCTTTGGCTTATCTCTATCATCTCTCTCCTCCCACAATTCTCCCTGGACCTTGGGGCTATAGAGGCTGTGGGGTTGGCATGCCCTCCTCCCTCCTTTCCTTGACCTTCTCATGGCAAGGGGTGGGGAGGGGCTGGCTCTGCTTGTTGAGCCATTTCCTGCCTGTCTCTCTCGGCTCCATACAGGTAGAGACTCAAACAGCATTTGTTGAACAACTTCCTTTTACCTACACGCTGACGTTCACACCCTTAGAAGCACGTCTCCCCCAGGGGTAGCTTCTGTGCTGGGGGCTCAGGCAGGACTTGCAGGGATGAGCGCCTGTGCTGGAGGAGAGATGAGACATGTGGGACTCTTGCCACGCGCCCAGTGTGGGGCCTGTACACAGTGAGGCTCGCCTGACGGCGGTTCTCTGTTGTCTGTGACCCCAGTGAGGTGGGGCTGGTGCTGCAGGCTGGAGGCCGCGTGCTGAGCCAGCCTTGTGTGGTTGGAACCACTTCTGCTCAGGGCGTTGCAGGTCTCCCGTGATCGCACACCTGCTATTTGCCAGGCACACAGCGAAACACACTATTATCTGGTTTAATTTTGGCTGGAGGGCTGTGAAAGAGGCCCAGGGCCAATGGCAAGGGCAGGCCAGGGGCAGAGAACACAGGAGCTGAGGTCTGGAGGTCCGGAAGCCTGACGTGGATTTTGGGAAGACGAGACTGGAATGTAGTTTGGGGATCAACCACAGAAGACCGTACACTCGGAACTAAGAAACGAAGCATTATCCTTTTCGCCAGGGAGTGCCGAGTCGCTGGGGGTTTGTTAAATGGGCCCTGCCTGCTGAGACTGATGCAGTAGGGTCAATGCAGGGCCCGGGAACCTGCATTTTAAATGCGTTTCCAGATGAATGCACCCATGTTGGCAGCTGAAGAGGCTGCTATGTATTCCCAGCCATCTCCTGGACTCCTCCCACACACCTCCTCGTTTTCCAGAGGAGCCTGAGCTCAGAGAAGTGAGGCGCCTTGCCTGGGGTGACACAGCAGCAAGAATGAGGCTGATACTGACGAATACTGACTGATAATCTTCCCGGTTCACTGGCTGCTGGTCTAGAGCCCCTCATTCAATTCTCAGAACGATCCTCTACATCATTCCTGTTGCATCGATCAGAAACCGAGGCAGAGTCTGTGGTCACGGGTTCAAGGCCGCGCAGCCGGTAAAGGCATGAAGTGCGGTGGGGATGAGGGAACCCAGCGTCTTGCATCTTTGGACAGAACGATGCCCTTCCGCTCCCTTTCTTTGGTGCGAGGCCGCGGGTGTTGCTGAGCCTGCGGCTGTGCGTGTGAGCAGAGGCCAGAGGAGGGAAGTGGTGGGCAGCAATGCATCGGGAAGGAGGCCGGAAAGCCGGGAAGGCGTCCTGGAGGAGGCGACGCAGAATCGTCTAGCTCTGGCCGAGGCCTGTCCGGGTCTGGAGGGCAGCAGGGTGTGCTGTGCTCGTCCCCAGTAGGCGTCCCGGGCTGGGCCAGCGGGGCACCTAGGCGCAGTCCC